TTGATCTAGGGCTGGCAAAGCTTCCCAGTAGAGTGGGATTAGCACCTCATTGAGATGAACAGGACTGTTCCCTCCTGTCAGAGCTATTGTTACAGCTACTACTGTTATAACAGGTGCATTTTCAAACTAATCTCTGTAACCCATTGAAATCAATGGAGGAATCTGTATTTCCCAAACATCTTCATACTCCTGTGTCCTTCCATGAGGACCAGCTTTCAACTTACTGACATTAACCTATCATGGAGACAACTGCTAGTGTCCAATACTACTGAAAAAATCACACAGTGTCTTAGGTTGGATAGTTCAATCCATTTCCCATTAACACCCATGGAAGGATTTCATTAACTTTAGTGGAAGCTGGACTGAGCTTCTAAACATGAAAATATTAAAAATAGGTGAAGATCTTACCTTGTAATATATAGATCTCTGAAAACTATCTATATTCATAAGCAAAGACAGGTACCTTTCTACCTGACCCATCCCTGCACTGTCACTAACCCTTCTCAGTATCTGGTCTCTTTAATGTTGCATTTTAACCCATCCCCTCTTTCACTACTATTATTTTGGTAATCTATAACACCATTAATGCAATCAACTTCTTCCCCCACCAGCTCCTTACTAACGACTTTGTTGGTACCACTAACATTCCTACGTCCTATATATCATCGCAATAAATCTCCAAATGCTTTCCCAACTCCCCCTGTGCATATCAGCTATTAAGTCTTTCTCCAGTCCTGCCCCTCGTACCCCTACTGCAGTCAACTTGTGCCATAATTGCTCTCGTGCTCACTTAGGCTTCAATTTGCAGCGCATTTCCACTGAAAGGATATTTTTTCCCCTTGCTTGCTCCATTTCCCTACTTCTTTTAATTGGCTCTATTTATTATAAAATAGGGGAAAGATTAATTAAGCAGATCCCTGTGCATGTCTGAGGGCAGCTTTCAGGCCCGGTGATATCAAGGAAGGTCACTGACTGAAACTCAGCGTTGGAACTAGTCTTTTCCAGATTATAGCGTTCTTCCTTTCTATAATTTAATTTACACAATTTCATATTTCTGGTCCAAAGCAGAGAACCTTCTTCCCCCTCCATTTAAAAAAAAATGTATATATTTTACACTGCCAAATCTGGTCTGTGTCAGATAGATAGATAGATAGATAGATAGTTTTAAAGTAGAACAAGTTACCTTGTCTAATGCAGGTGCTTCCTCTTCCCTGCCTTCCCAAGTTCTGCAGATTGAAAAGATGTCTCAGTACATCAGTGAGGGAGATTGATTCACCTGTTCTATTCATGGAAACATTTCAATATTTGAGCCTAAAGCTTATAAGTGTAATACCATTTATCAACCAAGCAGATATATGCTCTTATCACAAGTACAGTGATCCACCAAAGGAGATGGGTCATCAAGGTGCTCAGAACAAAGACTGGCAAAGTATTCATGATGTGGTATACCTCTCAACAGTTTGATGGTCCCATGGACATCTCTGTTCCTGATCATCCCATATGTGGTGGCACCTACAGCAATTGCTTAAATGGAAAAGTAGCAGCAGGAAAAGTATTTTATCTGGTGACAGTAGGTGAAAGAAAATGAAATAACATATTGCAACTAGCCAGTTCTCCAGTCATCACCTATGAGTTCTTCATGGCACATGTGCTGAGACTTCACTTACCAGGGTCAGTGAAAGAGGAAGCAGGATGGATGAACACTGTGAGGTTACAAGGCCTGCTCCACTGCCACACAACTCTCCTTCCATAATCATGGAAGTCCCTCTGGGTAAGCATCTAGCTGAAATAATAACTATTACCTCTCCATCTTCCATCTGGCCTCATTTGATGGATCCTACCTCAAGTCTTTGTGCTAGGACAGCTGCCATGCAGCCCAAAGTGGAGTGCACTCCATGCCCTGAAATCAATCCAGTGCCAAATACATTTTCTTTGACATCCCCAATTCTCTTCCACCATTCTAGAAATGGACTCATCTGGGGGAAAGCCAGGATGACAGGCATAGCCATTCATCCAAGGACGTTTACCAGGCAGGGCGGGATGCTTAAAGTGTGCACCAGATTGCAGCTGACACCGATGATGCTGATTTCTCCCTCTCCATAATGGGATCTCAGCAATAAAGATGGATTTGTTAAGTTCCATCTCTACTCACTTTCTCCTTTAATCACTGTCAGGCATAAATTAATTTCAGCCTAAGGAGCTCTCAGAAAGATTCTGCCATTGTCTAGGGCACTTAAAGGTCACAAACGGAAATAATCCCAGAATATTTTCTCTTCAATCTCAGATTTTGGGCCACAGATAAATTTTCTGCTTTATAATTTGCTAATTCAATAATTTTGGCCTGAGCCTCAAATAAGTTGTTTAAGAACACAGTATTCAGTTCTCCTGATTGCAGATATTCACCCCACACCACGGACACTAGATACCAAGGACCCAGTTTTCTGGCAATAGCACCCTGAAGTAATTGGGCCAAGAGGTCAGGACACATGCAGGGGTACGTGGGGAAATGCAAGCTCCTTCTCAAGCCTGTTGAGCTGCTTTGAAGAAGTTGTTTCAGTCTCATGTTTGCAAAAGGCTTCCCCCATCCCTGAAGATGCAGCATTCCTTGTTAGGGAATAATGACCAAAGGAAATGTTGCAGACTCCTTATTGCTGGAGTCTTTTAATGCTACATTGGACAAAGCATCATATGTTCATTACCAACCAGGAGATCCAATACCACCTATGTTACCACATTGTATTGGTTTTCTCCAGGGGTTCAGAGACGCTGCCGTGGCCCCTTCAGCTCTCTAAGCTTGTTGAAGATTTCCAGATATTAGAG